TTTTTAATTCATCCAGAATGAAATATTTCAAGTCAGGAATGTTCCTTTAGAGATTGGTGGCAACATTACTACCTAGGAAATTATACATTTCTCTACTGCACACCTACACCTGTATCAGATTTTTAACTCAATGGTCTAGTGGAATCTCAGTGGAGGGATTATCAGCACGCACAGGTATCCAGCTCAAATTATCAAACAGGCATTGGCCAAATGGCAATGCATATGAGTCAGATGGAATGGAATTACAGGAGCTGCAAGAGAAGAAGGAATTTGGAATGTCACAGTTCCTTGGAAGGCAATCCAGGAAACAATGGGATTCTCCTCCATTGCCACCCACGTAACCAGAGGAAGAAGATGGATCATGAGAGAGCACAGTGCCACAGAGAGAGTGGAACCCAGCAGAAGAGCAAGGCTTGGAGCAGTGAAAGCAGAGAACCTCAGAGAAAGATGGGTTGTAATTAGAAAAATGTGCTATAATTGGAATGATGAAAAATTTGGGTTTCCAAGGTTACGTTTCTTATTGCGGTACTTTTTGTGTCACCTGAGCATTTAATCAAGACCCAAAAATGGTGCAATGCCAAGTGTTGGAACTGTTAACCCTCAGGTTTCCTGCCTGGTTTAAAATACAAATGTGCCTTAAAACGTGATCCAAGCTGAKCTCCATGCTGTGGATGGGTGGGTCTCAAAAACATGAACCAAATTCCCCAAACCCATCTGAAATTGTAGGACATAAAAATAGACATGGACCAATCATGAGCCTTGCACCATGGCCTGTCTGCTGGACAATAACCTCTGACCAGTCAATCACAGGAGCTTTTCCCTCACATTTCACAGGAACATCGATATTGTTAACCCTTTACTGTTTGCTGTATCGAGGAACAATCTAACCAGGAATATTRTTTAGAGAAATCCCACACAGAGCTACTGTAACCTGACCATTTTTCATTTTGTATGKTGAAACTTCCTTCACTTGGACAAAAACCAGTGGCCACCACCAAACCACAGTGACTGCAAACCCTTCCATCTGTCAGGCTTTCCCACCCSAATGCACAGTGGTGCTCTGCAACAATAAACCCTTATTTAAAAAMCCCTCTACAGAAAAGGCTCTGCTCAGGGAGGTATTGGACTTTTGGAGGAACATGGGAGAGTAGAGAGAATGTTACAATATTCATAACCATCCATTTATACCATGTGTGGGTCATTAAAATGTCCAGTGTTTCAACAACTATTAATATTTATGTGGTTATATAATATTACTTAATGTACTTACTCACCTTTTCATTAATCTCTTATGCRAGGTTCTTAAAATATAAGCACATAAACTAGTCCTGCAATTAAATCTGCATTAATCAACAAAAGAACTGTAATTGCATTAACATGCTGCACCAAGTTTCGKGTTAAAAGGGGAAGGGGGTGTGGTRGTAGTGAGTACAAAGCAAAACAAAAAAAGGATGAAAAGGAAGAGAACAAGTAGGGCTGTTTATGAACAATGCTCTAAGWGAAAAACAGTCCCTGCCAGAGGATCCGGGACTCTTTTTTAGGGTACATGCATTGTATCCAAATAATTTGGCATACATGCACCACCAAAGCAGTAAGACTTCGGGTCTAACAAAATAATTCAGAATTTCAAAATTATTGCAGCTTTTTTAAGAGGAAGAAATGAAGGCAAAACTTCTGCAGGTTTCTTTCAGAGGATTCAGCACCTTTGGAAAGTTCCATACCAGAACACACAGTCCCTACACGCATTTTCTATCCTCCCTGTGTTTGCTTTTTCCATCTTGTTCTGTGTATAAGGATTGTAAAATATACTCAAGAAGCTGAGATAAAAGTATAATAAGGAACCAGATGGACAACTTTCCCTGAGCAMAAGAATCCCTGTGGTCCTCCATGCTCTCCTGTCCAGCCCGTGGCTGGGCTGTGTGTGAACTGGTAACCTGCTCTTACCTTACAGAACAGTTGATGGCAAACACATCGAATAAAAGGCTTGTTAAACACTGAATTTTCTTAGCTAAATGTGGCATAATGCCATTTCCACATTTGGAACTGCAATGCCTAATAAATATTGCTAAATGCTGGAAAACTGGTAGCTTGTCACTAAGGATCAGAGCCCAGATAGATGATAGAGAACATATTGAAACCACGTATCGAGGCAGCATCTCAAACATCAGGATGCCACACACTGATTAATGTCCAGGGCTTTTTCTGGCTCCTCTTCATAGGAGACTTGCCCAGCCTCCAGCTGTGAACATTTATATGCTGCTGGCTAAGAATATTAACTGTTTATTAGACAGCTGAAACAGGAGGCAGTACATGGATACAGTCAGAGGACAAATCTCTACTGGAAAATGTCCTTAATATTAAAATCCAGAGATGTTAATAGACATTCTTTGTGCTTTGCAAGCTACCTTTGTCACTTATGGCACTGTATGTGTTACCCACAACATTGCTTTGCTGATTGTTTAATTATATAAAGGCCAGATTGTTTTATTAACTATAGAAAAGGATTCCATTCCAAGAATTTCTTCTGCTTCTAAATAAAACCTAATTAAAATGGAAAAAATACTTTAATTCAGGAACTTCCCCTACGTAAGAGAAATGGGCATTCTAGAATGACAAAACACTCGCCTTTCTTCCTTCCAGGTGCATGASTATCATTAAGGGTATTTTTAAAGGTTGGGGGATTTTGTAATTTTTATATATATAACATAAGGTTTTTAAAAAAAGCAACTTCACCCTTTTTTTTGACATGCCTACCTAATGAGCACATCAGATCCTCAGTAGGATCTGGCTCCTGCACAGGAAGAAACTCAAAGAAGGATAAAAGATGTGCACTTTGCAGGAGAGTGGCCGTCTCTCAGATGCAAAAGAAGAGCTGGCGATGTGTGCCCAGTGGAAGACTGCTTCAGGGGTTSAGCAATGAGAGAAAAAAAAGAAAATCTCCTCTGAGTTGCTGATTCAAAACCAGCCCAATCAGGGGTGACAAAGAGTCATTACTCGCCCCTTGCCTCTGCCTGTGCAAGGAGTTTATCACAGCAGCTCAATTTTCCATGGACAATTATCAGCATTACTAAGAAAGCCATTTCTGTGGCTGCTTGAGCAGAGGCAAACAGGAGAGTAAATGCAGACTGAAATCAGACTAATAACTCCTATCAAATGGTGACTCTTGCATGACTAAAACCCTTTGATAGGGAAGAATGAAGGAATTTCCACTGCAACCGCCTATGTTGGATCTCTGCTGTATTTTTTATTAATCCAAGACATCTCTGCAGAATCATTAAACACCACCATTCTAATTATGCACTAGCGATTAAGCAGATGTGACACTGAGCGAGGAAAATGTTTGATTAATGATCCAGGTGTCTAACTTTGGAAGATTACATTTAGCAGCGCAAATTTGGGGACAGTTGAGCTCAGAAGAACAGGAYAGCTTTTGATTTCAGCCTGCCTCAGTCACGTTATCCTGTTAGGAATATTGGCCACCATATCAACAGACAGCTCAGCACAGAACATTTCTCACTGTTCTCTTCCAAACATACACCAACAAACTTGCTGAGCCTTCTGCTCTGTTTTCAGSTTTTTACGGATAATAATTGCTGGAATTGACTTTATTTAAGTATAACACTCTCAGCTATTGGCTGTGAAAAGACAGGAGCTCTGCAGGACAAAATACACTTAGGTTTTTATTTTGCTCTGTTCCACCATAATTGTTAAATGGTTGCTTGAGCGTTATCTATTTTGCACCCATTTCTCACACTTCTAATTAATATTAGATATCTAGCAYCTAGAGCTCACAATGTTTGTGTGAGTTCAGGATAAATCAGTTCCATAAAATGCCCAGAAGAGAACAACTTTGCAAAAAGAGGCGACACTCGCAGTGTGAAGCAGCCTGGCCACCCCAATCCATCGTCACTTGGCACAATGGCCTGAATAGCCTGTCGYGCTGGCATCGCAGCCTGCAGCACCAGCCAAACACTGCCAGCCAAAAGGGCATSAATTCATCTGGGAGGAGACTCAAATCTTGTCATTGAAGTCACGTTTTACAGCCAGGGATGCCCAAGCAGCTGCTCGTGTCCAAGTTTTGCACTAAAGGCACCACACAGAGCTGACACAGTTAATGCTCTGACTGGGCAGGAGAGAGCTCGCACACACTTGTGCAAATGGATAAGAGGGAAAGTGCTTCTGAATACTTCAGGGTTTGTACTTGACAGAAATTCACCTTTCCACCCACTTTTAATTGTGCCTGACAGCCTTTTTCAGGCCAAGAGGAACCCTGAGGCACAGCCCAGCATATGGAAGGGTGCAGATCACAAAAAGAGAGCCACACAGCCACCATTAAAATATAAATCACTCCTCCACCCTCCTTCATCTTTACACTGACCTAGGAAATCAGCATCAAGTTCTTTTTCTTGAGCTTCTACTCTCCTCCTTGTTTAAGGAGTTAAAAGTAAAGGTCACCTGAGGCTTTATGCTTTGAAAAGAGGAATCTCTATCAGCAAAGGCCAGGARCAGACCAGGAATGAAATCAGCCTTTGCCAAAGACCGCTGATGAAAAYGAATCATCCTTTTGAGTCTGCAGGTGTGAAAGACTTTATTAAATTAAAAGTACAGGGATTAACAATAACAGCCAGTGGTCTGCATGGAGTATTTATGAGGYAAGATTGACAAGCCACACGATTATGCTGCAAAACCCTGATAAATGAGAATTACAGGGTARAATGTAAGTGGTATCCCTGAGAATAACAGTGCCAAGCAAAGCAAAAGAAAATGCAGACTAAAGTTATAAAGTACTTCTTAGCAATTAGTGCTCATCAGAAACCATTCATGTACATATCCTTTACTGGTCAAGAGGAATAATCCCAAATCATCTAGTTTGCCAAAAAAAGCACAGGGAAACAACTAAACTAGAGATTAACACGACTAGCAATTACATTTTTCTTTGCATATTTAATTCCCTTAAGGAAAATATTCCTATGAATTTTGAGTATTTTTCCACTTTTCTCATAGTGAAAAACACTCAACATTTAAGCAGCATTCCCACATTTTGTGAAATATGTTATTCTAATAGACATCAGGTAGATTCCCCAGCACATAAGCCAGGSATGAGCCTTCAGATGGCCCAAACAAAGCACAACCAACAGCAAATCCTCCAACATCTTGGTTATGTACACATAGGTTGAATAAAACTACAAATAACTTCAGTCAAAAATCATTCCCTGACAGAGGAACAGATTGTATTTTTCATTTTTATGCAATCTAGTCTAGGTTATGAATGCATCTCCCAAACTTTTATATATTGTACTCTCTCATGTATCTCCCAAACTTTTATATATTGTACTCTCTCACCTCTGTTACAGGCAAAAAATTTAACTGATTTCCACTGAGAAAGAAACAAATATATATTACTCACAAAAGTTGTATTTTCCAATAATAATGTAGTTGTATTTGTTTCTACATTCAGCTCAACAACATGTCCATTCCTGGTTTTATACACCACTGCTGTATCTGCAATGACAAAGGAATAAGCAGTCAGCAAACACACTGAGAATTTAATACATCTGTASAGAGAACCAGCATGTTCAATTAATTAGAGAACCTTTATTACAACACACAAACAAGGCAAAAGTTCTGTTGATTTGCCTCATGAGCTTCAAAATTACCAGTTTATKCCCTGTAGCATGCTCACCTTATTCAACACACAGATATTCTGGCCCAAAGTTCTGCAAAAAAAAAGCTTTTGCTGGACATCATATTCACCTTCCACTCAATTTATCATTTCTTGTGAGAAAAATAATCTAACACTCTTCAAGAAAAAAAAGGAAACTGAAATGAATTGTCATTCTATGAAAAATACTTTTTACCTGCTTGTATCAAAACCTGTAAAATTATGAAGAAATACACAGTAACTACATCAGCCTTGATTTTAAAAAAAAAGTTCCAAATKTCCCACTATTTATAGCAAGGGATTGAACAGATTGAGTGCTGATTCTTTCAGATTATTTAAAACCAACGTAAGAGATTTATACTTAATAAAATAAAACTATTTTATTATGACAATGTAAAAAGCATAAAAAAAGTTCTAAATTAAGCCTAAAGGAAATATAAAAGAACTTTCCTAATCCTCAGTAATGTCTGAGAAATTCATTACAGATCCCTGAATTTTATGAAGTGGGAAGTAAACATGACTGCAGAAAAAGGTTATGCTATCATAAAAAAAATTGCTTTGCTTATTCAGAAAAATGTAGCTCTATTTTAATTGACTCCACAGGAACTCGAGATATACAGCACTAGTGAATGTCCTCTGGAATGTTCTGTAAAATTAATGAAGCCTCATTTGAAAAGCTTACTAAGCTATTTTAGGACTGTGGCTGGCAAGTGGGGTGGGATTGATGAAGTTCAGAGCAGTATTATTAGAGCTGCTGTTTAGGAAGGCAAATTAGATTGTGAACTGTGGGATTAACAGCAGCTTCTTWCTGAGAAAAAAAGATTTCAAAAAGCTATTTTAAATGAAAAGAAACAGCACTTAGTAGACAGTTACTCGGTTTCAGGTTACTGATTACAGAACATGATGGGTTCTGCAGCTTCCTTTAGGCTATTTTGCATGTATTCTTTCAGCACTGAAAATTTCCAGTGACACTGGATCGTGGTGCTAAATATTGTAGAAAAAACAAAGTTTTCTGGCTAAAGAGCTGTCCCTGGTTATGATTAAAGCATAATGTGAGAAATGGCATTTGTAAGCCAGAGGCACTGGACAGCAGTGCTCCAAAACGTGCATTTTGGCCCCATGGGTGACAATAATGTGCTGCCCAAATCCAAACAAGCACAGAATGTTACTCCTTCTCATTTATCCACTCTTCCACATGTCATTTGGCCAACAGGATTTACAGCATCGTGTCTCATTAACTAATCATACCAAAACTAGTCCAGTAAAATAACAAACTTTCCCTTAAAATTGCTAATAGAAACACGCATAAAACACACAGTCCTGAAGCTCTTGCAAGTCCTACACAAGGTGTGAAACATTTGGAATAGCAAATACTGCTAATTTTTTTCTAACTTTTCCTAAAGTTAGAAGAAAATTTATTCAAACAATCAGAACAAAAAACTGAGTCACACCTCTTGAAAAGGCAGGCTTTACTGGACAGTGACGATACTGCCCTCTGAACTTGAACTCCTGAAGGGAATAAATCAAATTAATGCTTTAAAAATATATGGAATTTCTCAGRTAAAAGACTGTATCAAAATCCCACGCAAACATAGAGCGTAACTTTCTTCAAAAGTAATCATAGTAATTAATACAGAAGTCTCATTCCTATCAATATTTTGGATATCAAGCTGGTTAAGGTCATAGTTGGCGGTCAGACCACATGATGATAAGTTTTTCATTGATAGCTCAAATTTAAATGAGAGCCATAAACCTGAATTTGTTTTGAAATTTTTCTTACTTATAGTCAGAAAATGTACAAAAGAAAATAATACGTAGTCCTTAGCATCATCCATTTGCAGAGCTGATGGATTTGTTTTTTTATCTTGGTGCCTTCACCACAAAGAGGTTCAGGGACCTCTGACCCTGCACAAAGCCATCCGGAGGAGTTCTTACTTCAAAGAAATTTTCATTTAATTTGAAACAAATAGCAGTATCATGTGAAAAAGCACTCAGCTGGGCACAAATTGCAGCACTGAAGAGCCACATTACTGATCTGAGGACATCACTAGAATAAAAAGCATTCTGTCTTAAACAAAGGAGAACGTAAGGAAGSCTCTGTGTAGATGTGTTATCAAGTCACCGGCCCTGGATGATGCACACAAAAACAGTCTTAAAAACARCTGATTGGAAATTTCCTAATTATAGCAATTCTCAAATTTCTGACAAGTTTGTAAACTCCAGAGCATTGAATAACTGGTTAGTTTTTTCTGGTTTACTAAAAGATAATGACAAGACAACTGAGGGTCTATACCCTTGAGCAACAGAATCAACAGCACTCCAAAAAAACAGATTCTTACTAAATTCACAACTCWGTTAATGTACATTTTGTTTGCCAAACAAGAGTAGTTTGGTAGAATATTGGCTAGATTTTTGCAACTTTTTGATAATGAGGTTTATTTCATGGTAACTCTGAGATAAACTTTTGTAGTTCAATCAATTTCAGTGCCTAAAGGTCCAGCTTGCTAGGACCTGGCTCAAAAGTGGTTTAGAATTTGCTAACACTGATATTGAATAGTTTGACGAAAAAACTGATTTATAAAGAAGKTACACAGACTGCTAATTGCTGGTTATTTGCACAGAGCACTGTAAATCTTAGCCTAAGCTAATTGCCCAAAGGAGATCAGAGCACTAAGGCAGTTTTGTGCATAGAAACCATTGGATATTAAGGCAATTTATCAAACAGTCTTGAGAGAGCAAGTAGCGTCTAAAAAGCGAAGGAAAGAGAAGGAAATAATTCAGGCAATGCTGAAAATCTGTTCCATAATATCTAGAATAAAGGAGGCCTCAGGGTAGACTTCTGAAATTGCTGACAGTGTTAACCTGAAGATTGTTAATGCTTGTTTTCCCACTGAAAATATTTACTAAGTTTTGGTTTGTTTAAGTAAAATTCTGCTTTGCAGCACAAACAGCAACATTAGCAAGTAAGAGTCCTCCTCTTCCTTATATTTTTTTTTAATAAAAACATGCAAAAAGGTTGATACCTTGCAGTCAACACATATGTCAATCAGCCTTTGCTGTACACAGTATTATTAGAACTGCAGATGGCATTTCATCAAATTGATTATAGAAAATGTCATCCTAATTAAAACAGAGAATGCTTTCTGATTTAATAAACAGGAGGTGCTAGACAAATCTTTGTCTAATGAAGTGTTTACTAATTAAATAAAACAGTCATTTACAAAGATACTAGAGACAGACCAAATTTCAGTATGTCAGCTGAATCACGTGTGAGCTGAGCAAGATTTTGGCCAYTTCTCCAAAAGTTTAGACTGTTGTTAGTAATGCTTTCAAGACAAAAATGATTCTGCTCTAGTTTACAATGCAATGTGCTCTTATAATGCATTCTTCCAGACAATCCCTTATAATATAGAAGATTTCCATTTYAAAATGGCTTGGAAAGTTTTACACACAGTTAACTCTTGTTTTTTTTCTGATTTCTCCTTCCTTTTCCCCTCTATGCCCAATGCAAACTAATCAAAAACCAGACGGAGATCTCACGGTGCAATAGCTACAGGAACGGAAGTAGCAGACCCACAGCAGCACAAACAACTTAGCTCTAAGAAAGATAGTTCTTCCTACCTTTTTGAACTCCAGAATGAAGTGACCAGGCATGGATTAACCTAGAAAATTCAAATTTCCATCCCTAGTCAATGTGTCTTCCTCTTTTCCTAATCTGGTCACTGGTTTGCAGAGCAAGTCATGCTCGACTCATGCTGATTTTCAGTGGTCCCAATTATTTCACCATATCAGAGTATGAAAATCGTATGAAAATCTCTTCCCAACAGCCAATATTCATTTATAAAATCGATTTCTTCCCTGTCTTGCAACTGTACAGGATCATACCTCAGTCTCACAYTGTCCCCATGCCAGCATTTCAGACGGGGCAGAAGGAGCCCACAGCTCCTGAATATTAACAAATCCACTAAGGGATTGATCTACAAGAAAAAAAAAAAGGGAAAAAAACCCCAACCCAACAGTGGAATATATAGTGCAGTCAAGCTAAGCCTCTGGAGTTTGAACTGAGGCAGATGAGGAAACATTMACTGCAGAGCTGTGGGAGGCAATAACCAGCAGCCACGGGTGGTAATATCTGTGACCAGCTCAGATGGAAAAGCATCACTGTCTGCTGCCTAAGCCACTTCCAGACATGTTGGGAAGACAGAAACACAAGGGAAGGCACTGAATTACTTCACAAAGACAACACAGATAGAGGCAGATAAATTGAAATGAGAGTGACCACAGAGAATGSAGCTGAATAAAGCTCAGTGACTGTCCTGGGGCTCTACCCAGGCACACTGGAATCCAGGTGTGCTGTCAGCTCAGTTTTCACAGCAAAACTCAACCATCCATTCCTCTTCTATGTACTGCCATGGTAATGGAAAGACATTCTAATTTACCAACTCTAGTTAACCAATTAATTCATAACTTAAATTGTAACTTTGAAGGTTTTGGTCTTGTCATCCATGGYATTTAGCAGCAATTTTTTCTCCAGACTTCCTGGATGGAGAAATTGTCATTCAGTTCTCTTCTACTCCCCTGGGACTCTGCYTGGGAGTGAGCATAGCACCTCTGCATAGATCTGCTCACTCAAAACTGCTGAAATCCAGGCTGCCCCAGCAGGGTCTCTCTCATTTTCCATTTCAAGAGCTCAACTCAGAATAACACAGCTACAGCTGAGCTCCAGCTTTAGGAGCTCAAAATCATCAAAATGCAAGTAAGATTTTGACATCATTTAAGGAGATAACAATTAGAAGAAGTTGAAAGAAAATAGAAGTTGTGCCATAATTATTCTCCTAAC